CTTACAAATAYTTTCAATCTTAAGATGTCATGGTCAACTAGCATCCCTTACAAGSAATTTGTAAYCTTACCGGGTCATTATTTTCTTGTTGTGTGGTTCCTGCAGCATTTAAATGATCAATAATGGCCTTGAGATCCCCAACCATTTGCTTTAATTGTCCATCAATATCTTTTGCAAGACCATACCTATATTGTACAATTTTATGTAATACANAAAGGTACAATCAGTGTTGGAGTTCACACAAGATAACTACCACTTTCATTCAAGCATTTTAAATTTTAAAAAAATCACAATTTGAAATGTGTCCTTATGCGTGTGGTGTGATGTGTCTGCTCGTCTTGTATATATTTGTTTGCTTATTGACTTGGTCTTATTAATATTTATTTATCTATTTATTGTATCTACATAAACATATTTATTGTCAATTTATTTATTAAGTATCTATACAGACTGCCTCGATTAGTTAAACTATTTGCAGTCTGTATATGTTAATTTACATTTTTAATCTAAATTATTGAATAAAATTGAATCAAGTCAATTCAGTGGGTAACCTGTGTTACATCTGGAATTTTCTCAGTAAAGGGATTCTAGTGAGAAAATTCTGGATATAACACAGGTTATCAGAATTTACAATTGGGAAACAATTGTTGCATTTATCTATGTTTTAAACCAGACATTTTGACGATTAAACTTTGTGTTTTGACATCTGGATGAGCATGAAAAAATCATGTGAAGTGATTTTACAAAATTTAAKTTACACTCTGCCATTTTGTGTATACGAAACAAAGATGAAACGTTTTTGAACGTTCTTGGGTAAAATAAAAGGAAACCGAATATGAAATTCCCAAAGTAAAATCAGAAATGGCCACGATTGTTTCCAGCTGACTTCTTTCAATGAAAATTAAGTATGAAAACAAACTTTTGAGGTTACAGCGGAAATCGTTGCATTGCGACCTCTTTGTTTTGAAATTTTTCTGGATTTTGTTCTTTCTTTCAATCTGAGGGGCGGAGCTTTTCGAAAACTCGTTCAATCATTGGCTGATTAGTATCAAGCTCCACCCCTAAGTCGCAGAAAAACCAAAATCCTAACTATTTCCTTTGAACATTGAAATCGTGATGCAACGGTTTCTGCTGTAAGGTTAAGTCATGTACCTTATTTATCTGCTCCTCCAGTTGTTTATAGGTAAGCTGAGGTACAGTACAAGTAGCACCAGTACTTGAGGCTGTTGCTGTTGTGGATGTTGCTGTAGTGGAACTAGTAAAAATAGTTCAAAGCTTTTCAGAAAATTTCAACTATATTACAAATGTAATAAAGACAGAGACCTGCCATGAAGATTGGCTGCAAGGAGACAACACGATTCCAACAGCCCTGCCTTTGCATCAAAGCACAACAACCGCTGAGAGTGCAATGATAGAAACCTTCTTTCACACCTACAGATAATTATTCACAGGTATCTATCATTGCACGCTCAACAGTTGTCTCGCTTCTTGGCAAAGGCAAGGGTACATTTAAGATGGTGCAGGGAACCCTGAATGAGACTACAGTAAAAACCCGTGTATAAGAACACCTATTTTGGCGGTTCAGGATGATTTGGTTCTTATATAAAGGGTTATAATCTGCAAAATCAGCTTCTAATTGTTCTAAAAAGTTTCTTAAAATAAGGAGTTCACTACTTGGCTACTAATAGATGAAATCATTATAATAATAACACACACAATTTCAATTAATCAATACAATAATGTAACTATTTTAATTTAAAAAAAAGATAAAATAATGTGTGCAATGAAAAGTAGTGTTGATCTTTGATATTTTCCCATATAAGAACAACTTTCATTTTTCAGGCTGAATGTGTTCTTATATAAATGGTACTTTATTTCCTAAAATCAGGCCTGGGTGTTCTTAATCCACTTGTTCTTATACACAGGTTTTTACTGTTTTCAATGGCAGCTTAATCTTAAGACTGACCTTGTTGTAGACTTGCTTGCTCCAATTGCACCAAAAGTAGTATTTACTGGAATTCAAAATAAATTCACTATGTCAACCAAAAGCAGTGAACAGCCAATTCAATATTTTACTTTTTTATGTATTCAATGTGGGATGACAAGAGTGCTTTGTAAAGTGATTCGCGCATGATAAGTTTGATATGAGTTTTTGAATATTATATAAGTCAATAAGTGCATAATACACACCTCCTGATAGAGTGAATCCAGAAGTTCCAGATGTAGTTGTACTTCTACCTGCAGTAGCTAAAGCAGAGGTTGTACAGTTTATTTTATTTCCCTTAAGTTAGGAGGCTATCTTTTATCTTTTATTACCACTTTGAGAACATTGGAAGGGACTTATTTAATATATTAAAACTCTTTTTTTTGTAGGGGAAGTTTTTCTATCATTTCTTTGCATTGTAATGTCAGTAGCTTAAAGTGCTACTTGCATGAAAATGACCTTATTTCAAAACTTCAAGCAATACAAATATATGACTCATTTATATCTAAAGCAATTGCGGGAAAATCTTTGTTTTGGAATTATCCCACATCAGACAAATTTTGATTCAAAAGATGGAAGAACAAAAGGATGGAGTAAATGACGTCATCGCGTATCTACTCCAACATTTTTTTGCCCAAATTATTAAGGATTTGTATCAATATCTTCTTAAAATCCGTTGCTTCATGATTATTAGATCCATATGCCTGGATAGTTCTATTTGATTTCCAAGTCTTTTCTAGTGTTTCGCAATTTTCGTCCAAGTAGCCCTTTAATCCTCTCCTCTGACAGTAATTATGCTATAATAATAATTGCCTATACACCCCCTGGTACAGCAAATCCAGAAGTTCCAGATGTAGTTGTACTTAAGCCTACAGCAGCTATTAGAAAAAAAGTTGCATATTTTATTCCAGTTATACTGAGCTTAAGAAGGTTATTATTTATTAGCATGGGAGGAGGTGAGTGAATAGTGTGATAAACTAGTTTTACTAGTTTTACATACANTAAATAAATAAATAAATAAAGTCTTTTATTTTGAGAGGGTAGCACGTAATAGTCTCTAGACTAATAAACTTGTGGCCCTCTATATATTCACTCACACTCACTACCTCAACATTCATTATTTTACCACACGACACTCCTCACAGCTAGTTTTTGACTGAGGGAGGAAAACCAGCGGACCTGGAGAAAAACCCTCGGAGCAAGGAAGAGAACCAGCCCACAAACTCAAATCACATATAGTCCCGGACCGGGAATCGAACCAGGACCACAGCGGTGATAGTCCGGCGTTTTAACCGCTCGGCCATCCTTGCTCCCCTTAAGTTGACTTCTTGAATGAACATTAAAGTACGAAAACAAACTTTTGAGGTTAAGGTTAAGTCATGTACCTTATTTATCTGCTCCTCCAGTTGTTTATAAGTAAGCTGAGGTACAGTAGAAGTCGCACCAGTACTTGAGGCTGTTGCTGTTGTGGATGTTGCTGTAGTGGAACTAGTAAAAATAGTTCAAAGCTTTTCAGAAAATTTCAACTTTATTACATATGTTATTTAAGACAGGGTCGAGCCTGCCATGAAAAATTGGCTGCAAGGAGATAACACGATTCCAATAGCCGTTCCTTTGCATCAAAGCACAACAACCGCTGAGAGTGCAATGATAGAAACCTTCTTTCACACCTACAGACAATTATTCACAGGTATCTATTATTGCAGGCTCAATGGTTGTCTTGCTTCTTGGCAAAGACACGGTTACCTTTCAAGATGGCGCACATAACCATGAACAATGAGACTATTATATGGCAGCTTAATCTTTAGACTTACCTTGTTGTAGACTTGCTTGCTCCAAGTGCACCAAAAGTAGTACTTACTGGAATTCAAAATATATTCACTAAGCATAATATACATTAAGAGTCCATGCTATAATGACATTTTCACTACAAAAGTCCAGGACTTTTCAAGAAATCAAGCACGAAAATGATGATTTTCAAGGACTATACTTTCAAAGACTGACTGAAGATATTTTTTTGATGTTTGCATTGTTGTTAAATTATTATTATTATCTAAGTCAATAAGAGCATAATACACACCTCCTGATAGAGTGAATCCAGAAGTTCCAGACGTAGTTGTACTTGTACCTGCAGTAGCTAAAGCAGAGGTCGCAAAGATTATTTTATTTCCCTGAACTTAGGAGGCTATCTTTTAGGGGGGGGGGGGGGTTAGTTGGCAGGTGTGAGGGGGTCACTTTTAGTAAGTTTCACCTACTTTTTTACAGTGTTAAATTTATCTTTTTTACACAACTTTTTAGAAATACTGACTCAGCTCGCACTAGTTTACCGCTAGTTTACACCATCGTCACTTTGAGAACACTGGTAGGGGCTTATTTATGTTATTATTTGTTTTGTTTTGTTTTGTTTTGTAGGAGAAGTTTTATGTAGATTAATGTTATGAAGATTAATGAAGCTTAATGTGAAAATCCTCTCCTCTTTAATGCTATAATAATAATTATCTACACACCACCTGGTACAGCAAATCCAGAAGTTCCAGACGTAGTTGTACTTGAGCCTGCAGCAGCTATTAGAAAAAAGTTGTATACTTTATTCCAGTTATACTGAACTTAGGAAGGTTATTATTTATTAGCATGGGAGGAGGTGAGTGAATAGTGTGATAAACTAGTTTTACTAGTTTTACATACAGGTATTTAGTAACATTGATGTTTTGATCAAATTTACAAGTGAAATGTTTAGGTAATGGTTGATCTCACTTCTGATCKGTCAATAAATAATATAAACATTCCCAAAATATCTCTGCTTTCCGATTTGCACTACAATAACTTTTTTCTCTTGTGACTTAAATGCATTGTTATGTAAAAATCCTAATGTGAAAGTCCCCTCCTCTGAATGTAAAGATAAACAATTATCACCATCTACACACCAGGTATAGTGAACCCAGATGTAGCTGTACTTGAGACTGAAGTAGCTGTAGAAACACAAGAACTTTGTATGGTTTATTCCTATTTTCCTGAACTTTGTGGGTTTGGGGGAAGGTTGGCATGACTGTGTGTGTATGAAGATGGGGAGGGGAGGGAGACTTTGAAAACCCCCAGTATTGGAGTTCCTTATGTTAAAACTCTTTTTAATAGCCTGGGGAGGGGTTTAGGTTTTTAAAAGGTACAGTAATCAAAGGGATTTATAAAGCATTGCCATGAAACAAAGCAGAATGCAGTTTTATTATTTATAGACTGCACCATCAAATTTTGACCCTCCCCTCCACCCTTGTGAACCTTGTACATGTATCATCATTATTATACTCTCGTCATCATTACTTCTTGACATCACTATACCTCTTGCTGGAGTTGACGTCACATTACCAAGAGAAAACCCACTAGAACTAGTAGTTGAGTTCCCAATACCAAGTCCGACAGTAGGTTGGGTGACTGTGCCGAGTTGAATACCTCCTAAGGGCTGTGTAGGTTTGCTAAGTTGTAGTCCCCCTGTTGGCTGTGTAGTTTGTGTATTTCCAGCAAGAGCTACTGGGGCAGAAGTGGTAGCAGTGCCTGCAACAAGGCTGGATAATAGAGGTGTGCTGGAGGGAGTTCCTGAAAGTGTTAGGCCGCCCGTTGACGGTGGTTTAAAACCTCCCAAAGATAACCCTGAGAGAAAAGACAACTTTAAGTTAGCTGTTTTTCACAAATAAATGTATGGCGAAAAGTCACCTTCACCTGCACSATCTTGAATGGTACAATCGTTGCCAAAAACCTTGGACCGTACAATTATTTGTCTCCAGCCTAACAATTTTCTCCTTTATTTTTTCACAGTTTTCCCCCTTAGCCCCCTTTCATCAATGTTGGGTCTTGTTTTGTATGCTTGTGCACGATGGTAACGTGATCATTGACAACATTGCATGAAGGGGGTCAGGGGGGATGACTTTGTCTGCGGGTGTTGCTTAAAATGAGGAAATAGGCGATTTGCATTATGGCGTCATTTACTACAACTACCAGAATGCTTTGCCCACTTTCTTTTGTAATGCAATTAGTGGCAATTGTTTTACTAATCGCTAAGGGGATTAAAAATCTGAATAACAAAGAAAATGCGCAAGGCTTTCTGGTAGTTGTAGTAAAGTTACGCCATCATGCAAATGGC